TCGCCGAGAAGGTCTTGCAACTTCTTGCGCCGGAGGTTTTCGCTGCCGTCAAGAGTGTTGTTGGAGAACAACCTCTGATGACAGATTTTCCTCAGGTCTTGCCAGAGCGGCGAGACCGGGAGGAAAACCAGGCTGGACAAGTTGTGGTCGTGCGCGGTCGTGACGTCGGGCACGGATCGGTCGGAGAACAGGGCGTCGTGGGTGTGGAGAATCTCCCTCGCCATGTCGGGCGAGGAGACGATTACGGTCGTCTCCCGGCCCGCAATTTGCACCCGCATTACGGGGCCGTACGCCTCCGCGAGCCTCGCCAGTGTCTGTTGCGGCTTGTGGAACAGGTCCGAGAGGTTGGAGATGAGGGTAAAAATGGAAGGCCCGGGTGGGAGCTTCTTTTTGTGCTTGGTTTTTGTGGTGGTTCTTAGGAGTGAGTGGAGAGTGTATAGTGCCAAGAAGAGGAAGAGCACTCCACATGATGAGCTCATTGAATCCATTTCTCTGATCTAATCTCACCAATTGAAGTAAAATATGTTGTGAAATTTATAGGTGTCTTACACTCTTACTTCCATGCATCAATCAATAATGGGCAGACCCAATAAGGGAGGAGTGGAGTCAATTGACACTAGCTACTGCCATTTTTTTTGTATTATCTCTCTACTATTTGCTTCATTTGTCTTTTTACTATATTTAATGTAACACTTTGAGTATCAATATCTTTATAAATTGATAGATTTATATTACGGAGAATAAAAATATACAGAGTAATATTTCAAAATTCAATTATTGATATTCGATTAATTTTTTATTATGGAGTACAATTCAATGTACTCCCTCCGTCTTAAAATTAATTTCTCATTTGACTTTTCACGGGTCTCCAATGCAACACTTTGACCATTAACATCTCTATTTTTATATACATATATATTATAAAAATATTATATGTCAAAATTATGTTTCAAAATGAATCTATTGATAACAAACGTATATGAGCATTCAATGTATTTTTCCCATAATATGCGGTCAAAGTTTAAAATGTTTGACTACAAAAGTCAAAATAGGGAATTGATTTTAGGACGGAAGCACTATTTTTTTGCATTACTTGTGTTCAAAGTTCAAAAAAATTGACCATAAGTCTAATTAGAAGGATTCAAACAGGATGGAGGAGTAGTATTGCTTGAATAATAAAATAGAGTACATTTTCAAAATAGTCCTTTCTATTTACATATTTTTTGAAATCAGTCATCAATAAATAGAATAGGTACATCTCTTTACTTTTTGCTTCATTTGTTTTTTTACAATATTTAATGTAACACTTTGAGTATCAATATCTTTATAAATTGATAGATTGATACGGTATCGTATCGGGATAGGGAAGGATTTCGAGCACCTTCGAGCTCCAAGAACAAAAGAGGCAAGAAAGAGAGAGATTAAGGTTTAGGAGAAAGTAATTTCTTTATTCAATGATAAATAATTCATTGAAATGGATACATTTATAGCTAGGACATTTAAAGAATCCTTACCATAGAAGGAAACTAAATAATCTAGAAATCCTAATAATAAATGGTAACAAATATCCTAACAATAGAATATTACTTTCTAATAATAATATAATTAACTAACCATAAATAATAATACTACCTAATATAATAATAATAACCACTAACCATTAATAATAGTAATAATAATAATAATAATAATAATAATAATAAAAAATCCCGTATCACTCTCCCCGCCTCAAAAACCAACTTGTCCTCAAGTTGGAAATTCAACAAAGAACGGGGAAAAAATGTGTCATGCATCGTCCATCCTCCGGGGTCAAACACCTTCGTTATTGGAGCATCAAAAGAACGTGTTGGACCTACAACATCTCCAACACTAGTTAAATAATTGCATGCGACCAACTCGATGAAAAGAATGCAACCGGGTGCAATACTTCTTGATTTACAGATAACAATAACCTCAACATCAAGAATTCCAAAGCTTTCTGTGCATCCATAAACAATTAGAATGTCCCCAAAAACTTCCTCGCGGCCTTGATGGTGTGCATCCTCTTGAACATCGTCTGTAGGAACAGGATCATAAACAATAACAAAAGCATCATTGGAAATACATACCGGATGAACAACAATTTCCCCCTTCATCGTGAGTGACTTATTGGAGAAAAAAATATACAGAGTAATATTTCAAAATTCAATTATATATTGATATTCGATTAATTTTTTATTACGGAGTACAATTCAATCTACTCCCTCTGTCTTAAAATTAACTTCTCATTTGACTTTTTACGGGTCTCTAATGCAACACTTTGACCATTAACATCTCTATTTTTATATAAATATATATTATAGAAACATTATATTTCAACATTATGTTTCAAAATGAAACTATTGATAACAAACTTATATGATTATTCAATGTATTTTTTCAGAGTTTACCTGAGCCTATCCGTGTAGAGGTAACCTTAACAGGTTGGGTCTCATACACCTACATGATGTAGCACTAGCAGAGAGAGAAAAGTGTAGTGACCTGATCGAAGTGTCTTGAAGACTACCCGGGTGCAACATACGTGACCTGGTGAAAAGCACGATATACCTTCAATAGATCACCCGGTAGCTTTGGACCAAAACCCACCGGGATGGATTCCAACCTTGTACGACGACAACAAATCTAGTGTGATAATCTAGTCGTATTTACCCGGTGATGGGTGTATTCCACCCAGGCCACAACTCAGGTCAGGTCAAGCCATGAGCAACCAGGTGATTCCCGAAAAATGAGCAATCAGGTAGCTTTGGTGGATCTGTACATGACCAGGTCCCGGATGCAGACCACGTGGGTGACTTTCACGCGACCGATCATGTAGCATGGCATTGCAGAGAAGATCCTCGAATGATAAGAATGTCCCTTCAGGAAACCATTGGAGTGGATTTCCATGACTTGGGAGCCACTTGGCAAGGATAGATTCCTCTACACCAATGGAATGGGCTTATACAGGTATTCCCACCCAAACACTACGCACCAAATAGGGACAGTTACAAAGGGAAAGCTCTAAGGAAGAAGGGACGACAAACAGTACAAGATAAAAAGGCATGCACGTGGCTAGGCATGGGCGCATGCAAGCCTATATACTAGCTTCACTATAAATAGGCTTGTAACCCTTAGTAGGGATTCGAATTTCCACTCTCTAGCAGCTATTGTGTAATACTTCCTTGTATTATTCCCATACCAAATAATAATTGGACTACGGGTGTTCACACCTACAGTCCTTCTAGTCAACCTTTGTTTTCTCTGTCTTTCTAGGATCCAAACTCAACAAACCACCCTAGACCCGATCTAGAGTAGTTTTCCCGGGTGGTAAAAACATTTTCAAACTTTATTTCATAATAAATTATTCGGAATAGTAACGAAGTATAAATTTGTGAAAGCTTTAACAAATCACAATTACAAAACATAATTAATTTATATCTTTTAGAAATAATAATTCAAAACAAACAAATTGATACAGATAATATATTAGATTAATTAATTAGTTAATTATTAATTAGTGTTATTTACTAGTTAGTATTTTATTCTGATAAGGGTTTAGAGTTATGCCATTGTAGGGTTAGGGTTTCATTAGAGTTTCTCTCTATCAGCTATAAATAGAGATGTACCCCCTCTACTATCGGAATGAAGAATAGAAATCAATAATTCTCTAATATCTTTCTCTTTTTTCTCTTGGGAGTCCAGAAACACTCGAAGTTTTCCATTTGGAGCTTGAAGACGCTCGAAGTTCTTCTCTATCCATGTACGTTTAGCGTATCAATTGGTGCTTTCATTGAGAGGAACACCAAACAAAAAAAACAGTCAAAGTTCCGATCCACAATTTTTTTACTAGTTCAATCTACTGTTGGAACTTTGGAAAGAAAAATACATTGAATTGGATTGCTCCTTGAGATCACTCAATTGTGCAGCCGCAAAAAAAAAGAGAAATATATTAGAGAATTATTGATTTCTATTCTTCATTCCGATAGTAGAGGGGGTACATCTCTATTTATAGCTGATAGAGAGAAACTCTAATGAAACCCTAACCCTACAATAGCTTAACTCTAAACCCTAATCACAATAAAATACTAACTAGTAAATAACACTAATTAATAATTAACTAATTTATTAATCTAATATATTATCTGTATCACAAATCCATCCCAAAAATCTTGCCCCATCTGCCGCCAGGAACACGTCACATCATTCTTTCTGTTTTCCTGCGTGTAGAAAATAAAACATACTACACGCTCAGCGATGAAATCGAGTAAGGAAATCTAATGCATCGAACATCCATATAAATTGAATCTGAATTCACAAACGAATCATTTAATATCATGCACATAATATTCAGTTCAAGGATTCATTATTCAATTTTCAATATCAACAGTGTTCCTAATTATTCTTAGTCTAAGACCAATTTAATATTGATAACAAAGCTCTTAAACTATTCTTAGTATAAGGAAATATTTTTAATCAGGCTCTTAAGCTATAATTAGTTTAAGGCAGAACACAAGAATCGATAATCCATCCTACAAGTCTTATTGATCATTTTCCAACCGAACAGTGGACTATTTATTGTCGGGTGGGTGACATCCTATATGTGTGTGTGTGTGTGTATATATATATACATATATATATATATACATATATATATATATACATACATACATATATATATATATATATATATAATCCAAGTGAGAATGCATCTAATGAAAGAAATAAGAATGCATCTCGTGCATTAGATGTAAGATTTAGGGGCTTGAAAAATTTAAAAAAGCTGAAAAATTTGAAAAAAAAACACGATGGCATTATGGTACGGCAAATAAGTTGAACTTTAATCCCAATATTAAGGATAAATAGTAATTATTGTTTATTCATACTTTGGTTTGTACTTATCCGTGTGTTACTTTGTATCAACCATATGTATTAGATTAGGTTGTTAGCTTGAGAATAGGATCGTAAGTTGTGTTTAGCTATCTAGTAGCATCCTCCTCTGTATAAATCCTTGTACAATGATTTTGGAATAATATGAGAAAATACATCTCCTATATGGTATCAGAGCTTGTTCTTTAAAACAGATTTTTTTCTTTATCACTAAAAGGGCTCCCCTGTGTTTCTTTCCGGTTGCAAACCGATGACTTCTGCAGATTCTGCTCCCTCCTTCATCCGTATATCTGCTGCTAAACATTTCCCAATCAAGCTCACGAAGACAAACTATCTCGTTTGGCGTCATCAGGTCCACACTACTCTTGTCGGTTTGGACCTTTTTGGTTATGTCGATGGTTCCGTTCACGCCCCATAACTGTTCTCGTATGCTGCGCACAAGCAGCCCAACCCTGCGTACACTTGCTAGTACCGTCAGGATGCCATACTTCTCAGCGCTCTCCTTGGCAGTTGCACAGATGCTGTCCAGCCTGTGATATCTCTAGCGGAAACATCAGCCAATGTCTGGTCTCGGCTGGCCGCGAGTCTCACCAATATGTCCCGTGGGCATATTATTTCTCTCAAGTCCCAGTTGGCGAAGAATCCCCGCCGGAACCGCACCATTGAAGCCTTTATTGCAGATATGACGACGATTGCGTCCAACCTTGCTTTAGCTGGTAGCCTTGTCACTGATGAAGATCTTGCAGTTCATATTATGTCTCAACTTGGCGATGAATACTCTTCGGTCTATCAGTCATTGAGGGGGCGGAATGATGATATTTCCCTTGATGAGCTCTCCACGATTTTGAAGGATTGTGAACGTGAGATTCATGATCACTCTGCTGCCTTGTTTGACCTAGTTCCTGCAGCCAATCATGCCCAACGTATGCGTGGCAGTGATCATCGTGGTTGTACTTTCGGCCGTGGCGGTCAATCTGGTGCCTCTCGCAGCGGCATGCGTGGACGTGGTTCTTCTAATCCTACACGTGGTGGCCGATACTGTCAATTTTGTGACTATCCAGGTCATGATACGAAGTTTTGTCATAAACTTCAACGTTTCTTGAAGGAGCATAATGTTTCCATTGGCTCTGCACCGCTCGCTACTCCAACGGCTCACATGACTGTCTCACCCGGAGGTTGCGACGAGAGTGAATCTCCGTGGATTATTGATAGTGGTGCTTCACATCATGTTGTCGGTGATCCTTCCTCGCTCACCACTCTCATGGATTATGGCGGCCCAGATGAAGTACGTTTGGGTAACGGTAAGAATTTAACAATTTCTCACATTGGTCAATCTCGTCTACCCACTGTTGGTCGTTCTCTTAATTTGTCAAATGTTTTGTGTGTTCCACATCTCCAGAATAATCTTTTATTTGTGTATCAGTTATGTCGTACTAATCAAGTTTCGGTTGAATTTTTATCTGATTCTTTTATCTGCGTACAGGGACACCTCTACTTTAGGGACTCACCAAAAATAATCTCTACTCCGTTTCCTCTCGGTTGGGTGCACCAAGGGTCAACACTCTTTCTGTTCCCGTCTCGTCTCTCGCTGATCTCCATCATCGGCTAGGACACCCTAATAATAAAACTCTGGGTGCTATTGTTCGTCAATGTAGCAATTTTTCCAAGTTTAATGATTGTTCTAATTTTCATTGTTCTTCCTGTCATATCAATAAGAGTCACAAGTTGCCCTTTGCATTTAATACATTGTCGAGTAATGCTCCTTTAGATCTAATTTACACTGATGTTTGGAGTACTTCTCAGTGTTCTATGGATGGATATTACCATTATGTACTTTTTGTTGATCACTATACGAAATACATTTGGTGGTATCCTCTTAAACAAAAATCCGATGTGTTTTCTATTTTTCCTCAATACAAGCGGCTTGTATGGACCGCCGTATGGGGGCATGCCGAGGTACCTTTCAATAATAACTATTTATCCAGTGCGCATATAATCCGATGTGTTTATCTTATTAATCGTCTTCCTACCCCCATATTATCTACTCCAATCTTGGTTTCATTCCAAGATTGGTGTTTCTAACGGCACGCCAATCTTGCGGGGGCGTATTAAGGATAAATAGTTAGTATTGTTTATTCATACTTTGGTTTGTACTTATCCGTATGTTACCACCTGCGTATCAACCATATGTATTAGATTAGGTTGTTAGCTTGAGAATAGGATCGTAAGTTGTGTTTAGCTATCCAGTAGCCTCCTCCTCTATATAAATCCTTGTACAATGATTTTGGAATAATATGAAAAAACACATCTCCTATACCCAATGCCGAAAATGCACTACCACAGTGTAAAAATGTATCGTGACAGTTAAAAATGCACCATTCTCAGGATAAGGTCTATTCTCGCAGAAGTAGCCTTTGGATTTGTGTATGACAAGAAAAATATATTATCATTATGAAATTACACTTTTAGCTCCAAATTAACACTAACATGATAGAAGATCAAAAAAGGACTATTTGTGGAAAGATACCCATAAAAGAAGGATTTCCGGGGTAATATTTGATAATAGAGGACTAAATAGGGAAACCCCCTGTTATAAAGGACCAATTATAAAATTTACTCCAATTATAAATACTCAGCTCATAAAGCTATAATGTCTATCATTTAAGACCATGTGTTATGGTGAGCTTGATAGGGACTTGACGAGATATAAAGAAATATGACATGGAGTGATAAAAATATATGTGTTAGACTGTTAGGCCATTTGTTATGGAGGCTTGACGGGGGGCTTGACAGCGTGTAAAGATTTATGTTATGGAGTGATTAAAAATATGTGTTATGATAAGTGTGAAGAAATGTGATGATTTGTGAAGGTGTGTTAAATTTTAATTGGTTGGAATTAACAAAAAAAGAAAAAAAAAGGGGCAACGATGGGATGGTCATCCCTGCGTGAGGGGCCACGCCCAAAAAATTGGAAGGCGTCATGGGAAAGGGGCGTGAGGGAGGAGGTCAAGCCCTCCTCACACCACCATAACACATGCTTTTACGGGGCTTGAAAAAGGGATGTGACGAAAATTGATGGGGTGAAGATGTAGACTATTTTTATTGGTTGAAAAAAAAAAGAGGAAACGAGCCTTGACACTGGATGGCTATCATCCACAAAGGGCCAACGCCCCATCACAACAAATATGGCACGGTGGAACAGACGTGAGGGAGCTTGAGGAAAGGTCTTACCACTTCTGTCAAGCCCCATAAGAGATAAGCTTATGGGGATTGACATAAGTGGTGTGTCCCTTCCTCAAGCCCCCTCACGCCTGCTCTAGCTACCATGCCATATTTGTTGTGATGGGGTGTCCCCTTTGAGGGTGATAGCCATCCAGCCTTGAAGGCTGATTTCCTTTTTTGTTTCAATTAATCTAAATAATCAACATCATCACCGCATCACACCCCTTTTTCAAGCCCCATAAAAGCATGTGTTATGATGGCGTGAGGAGGGCTTGACCTCCTCCTTCACGCCCCATACACGCCCCTTTCCCATGACGCCTTCTAATTTTTTGGGTGTGGCCCCTCATGCAGGGATGGCCATCCCGTCGTTGTCCCATTATTTCTTTTTTTAATTCCAACCAATTAAAATTTAACACACATTCACAAACCATCATATTCCTTCACACTCATCATAACACATATTCCCTCCGTCCCATAATTGATTACAATGTTTACTATTCCAAAATCATGATAACTTTTTTTTTATTTGTGCATTTTCATTGATTATTTGATAAAATAAAATACTGTTGTAACATTTTATTTTGTAAAGTTTTTTAAAGCCATGTTTGGCCTTTCGCCTAGCCTGTTTTGAAGCTTGAGACCAACTTTAATTTTACCCAACTTACACCCTAAAAGGTATCACAAATACACACAAATAATAATTATCTGTGAAATTTAAGATAGTTCTTGTTTGTGTGTTTGTGATACACTTGGTGTGTGAATTAATGTACAAACTTAATTAGTATAACTTTAACTTTTTTATAGTTATCCGTTGTCATTCTTAGGTTCTTAGCAAGGAGTGTCAATGAAGTAAGACCTGAATTCGACTTCGGGGAACTGTGTTGGGAAATAACAATGCTGAACATAGAAGTTTTGCAAGTATCACAATCTTTTTTATCAATATGCGATTAAAGTCTAATTTATCATCTGGTAATCCTTCCATCAAGTCTGTACTAGGAATAGAGCTCAATCAGCTCATCCTTGTTACTTTGTGTCATATGTGTGCCCCACCATTCAATGAGATTATTAAAGAGCGTGCCATACTGTCATCCAACTGATTGGGAGGAGGTATCAAACAAATGGCAATGTTCCCCACTCGTTTTTTTGTTTTTTTTTTCTTTAGTACCTGACTCACTTGTACTTTGTAATTGTGGGGTTTTTCAATTCTCTAAAAAAAAATTTATAAATAAGACAAATTATTTCGTGAATCTAAGTTTCATGCTCAGTTTATAAACTTTAGTATATTTGTAACATTAAGGAAGTGAGCCTTTTGAAAAAATTTTTTACATGTAAGCTCATTAAAAATATAAAAAAAAATTCACATTTTGAATGTGGATTCTGTGATCATGTAAACATCACTTTAAAAATAAAATTACTTGAGTTTTAGGAAAATCTACTAGCTAAGGTAATAGACACGCTCACACAAGTTCAATTCATAGTGGAGAAGATAGAGTATAACTCACTATGCATCATGAGATTGTAAAAATATAAACCAATATTACATTATAATATAGTCAATCGCACAAAAAAACTTTGACTCAATTTAATTTAATCTTCGGTTCTTGAAATAATGTTGCACTTTTCATTTTAAACATCTGACTTTACAAAAAAATGAATATGTGGTTACTATTGTTTCTTTATTTTCAAAGTATGTTTCAAAAATACACAATTAATTCTTTTCATGGCAAATTCTTACGTGGTATTAAGGTTCACACTCATTTTATGAACCTTAGTACATAATCATCATAAAAGAATTGGACTTTTTCTAAAAAAGAAAAACCCCATTTCTAAGCTAATGAAAAAAAATTGTAAAAGTACATATTTTACATGTATATCTTAGAACCACAGAAGCATAACTTATTTTCATTAGATCTTTTCTTTCCACATTCTTTTAACATTTAATGAAGCCAAGTTGTCGAAATATTTTAGAAACGTATGGTAGGAGTATTTAAATAGGAGTATTAATGTAACTTTTACAAATAAAATTTACTCATTCGGAGTAATATATATTTAAAACTTTACAAAATTTGATCTAAACAACTTCTGGGAGGTGGGGAATATGTGACGGTGATTTGCACGTTTTCAATGAACAAATAATTTTAAAAAAAAAGATAGTAATCTATCGATCAACCATATAAAAGCCATTTTTTCCTCTTCCAATGAAAAATTAATGGATAAAATTTTAAAGATGTGTATTAATTCTGAAAACTCTAACGATAAAGGCTACCGTTGAATAATTTTTTCAAAACACTAACACAAATTTCTAATGATTCCAAACGAGACTTTAATTAATCACGAAAATCTATTTTAATACCAAACTTTTATTTCTCAAAGTAGTTCGAAAGTAGTCTAGTAACTCTTTCTACTCTTCTTTCATCCCACAATCCCCTTTTCCTCTTTATTACTCCCTCCGTCCCCCTAAGATGTTCTCATTTTTACTTTTGGTAGTTTTTAAAGAGAGTTGAAAAAAGTGAAAGTTTACCATAATACCCTTAATGAAAATGAGTGGAGTATATTAAATGAGGTGGGTGAGGTGTAATAAATAAAGTAAGTGAGTGTAGTTGTAGTATTTTAATTGTTAAAAAATGAAATGAGAAGATCTATTGTGAACAAAGAAAAAGAGCTATTGGGAAGATCTAGGGGAGACGGAAGGAGTACTTCATAAAAAACTACTTTTACTCTATTAATTTTTATCTTATCTATCCATTATACTTATAATGTACTAATAAAAATCTACTTAATATTGGTACAATATAATTCTGAGGATAAAGCTTCTAGCTTTTCTAAAATGTCCTGATACGAGCGGCAGTCACGTACACAAGAGAAAGTGAGAGGCAAGAGGCGGAGAGTTTGGAGCGGAGGATCATGTTGGAAGAGAACAAGGGTATTAAGGGCGGGGGACGAGGAGCGGACGTCCAAGGAAAGCTCCGGCTTGGCACAATGATTATGTGACAAGATAGGATTATTATTATTATTAGTTAATATTATTATTTGCTATTTTATGTAATAGATTTTCACTAGGTGAGCGGATTTATAAGCTCCTTCGAGGGTTTTTTCTTTTCGCTTCTTTACCTCGATGGTTTTTTAAGGGGATTTACTTAAATAGCACTAAAACATAATGACTTTCCCTAAATAGTGTTTTTCCCAATGTAGCAATTTTAGTCATTATTCAAATATATGTTCGCCATCACTGGACATTATTAAGTGCTATTTAGGGAATAAAATAGTTTAAGTGCTATTTAGGGAAATGACTTAAGTTTTAGTGCTATTTAGTACAAATATTTCTTTTTTTAAACCGACAAGTTAGAGTTAGGGTTTTATTATTAGGGTTTATAATTAGGGTTTCTCTTTTGATATAAAAAGGGAGGCAAACCCGTGGAAGGATTATCAATAAGAAAACATTAAACCCATCTTCTTCTTCTTCTTCCCTTTCTCCTTTGGAGTACGGAGACACTCGAAGCTCTCCTTGACCCGATACATTTCCGTATCAAAGTGCTCTCGTTGAGAGACATGACAGAAGTCTCGTCTGTTTCCCCGGATCTGGAACCTAGGCTTCATGAGATGGGACGAGCGATGGTGCAGTTGCTGCATGCGGGACTTGGAGTTCCGGATGGATCGAATAGATGCAGCACTGGCAGAGCTACGAGCGTACATCACCACCCAGCAAGTCGGCAGTAACAATATCGGGCGTATGGGGCGTCCAAACTACGACAGGACCCTGGGTTTATCACGTCGAAGCCCAAGTTAGAGCCACCTAAAAGCGATGGCACAGAACCCTTACATTGGTTGTATCAAGTCCAAGAATACTTTACCTACTACTCTTGAGATACCGCTAGGCGAACGCCTAAGTTGTGTGACCATGATGTTAGAAGGAGTAGCCGCAGACTGATATCGATTGACGAGGAACAACGGGTTGATCAGAGATTGGGACGACTTTAATTTGTACGTAAGTTCAAACTCTGATTTGACCCATTGCATTACGTAGATTACTTGGGGAAACTGGCCCGGACTAGGCAGATCGGTGGGGTGATGGATTACCAGGTGGCGTTTGAAAAATCCTGACCCATGTGGCGGATGTGCAAGAATCCACGTTGCAACCGTTATATCACGCGGGTCTTAAAGCCCACTTGCAGCATGAGATCATCAGCCTCTTAAAAGCTGCTAGTCTTTCTGAATTATTCGCATTAGCGCGAGAATTAGAGGCCAAGCACAATGCCGTAGTTCAATCTGTATGGGGGGCGAAGTACTTCGTGGAACCCTATTTTCTCACGAGGGCGTGTAACACCCTAATCCGTCCAGGTCTACACCCCCCTCCAGACTAAAGTATTAACTTGGCAATCATGTTAATTTCAAACATTTCCAAACACTTTTATTCATCATGAGAATAATATTCATAACAGTAACAGCACGGAGTTTTCAAAATTAATAAAATTAAAAGGTCATCAATAAAGACTAACATCAAACTTGTAACACCATAATCCGTCCAGGTCTGCAGCCCCGTTCGGACTAAAGCCCCGTTCGGACTAAAGTATTAACTTGGTAATCGTAAAAATTTAAAACATTTCAAACACTTTTATTCATCATAAAAATAATATTCATAATAGTAACAATACAGAGTTTTCAATATTGCAGAAGCTTAAAATACTTTTCATCAAAATAATATTCATAAGTATTCATCATCCGTCCAAGTCTACAGTTTCACTTTTCTAATATTTTTAGAAAAATATAAAACTTATACAGTTGAGTTCTACATTTTCCATACATTATTTTAAGATAATTTGTTTATCAAGAAAACAGGCTCACTAGAACAAAATAGTATTATTGGGATAGTATGGAGTGTCAAAAATTTTTACTTCTTCCATTCATCCCCTCTAATAATTTAATCATTAAAGTTTAAATTCAAAATTCTTATTTTACTATTTTTTCATAAAGAATAGTCACACCTTTTTTCCATACTTTAAATGTGTAAAAAAGCTTTTTATAGATAATAAATTCATTATTTGTATTCAAAAGTTAAAAATTTCTAAACCGGCTTTGAGGACGTTACATTTCTCTCATCCTTAAGAAAAATTTTGTCCTCAAAATTTACTAGTCACATCTTCCGAAAATAGGGGAGGATAGTGACCACAGATTGACTCTTCTATCTCGCACATATGTGAATTCCTCCACGTCGTGAATTTTCCAAACGACTTTACCTAGTGACACTTTTTGATTGCCATGTTTTAATATTCAAATATCTACTGGTTGTAGGGTTGGGAAGACATCTCGATGGACTTTATTATAGGGTTGCCGCCTTCTCGGGGATTCACTGTCATCATGGTCATCATGGACCGATTGAGTAAAATGGTACATTTGGGGACTTTGCTGATAGGTTTTGATGCCCACCAAACAACTCACCTCTTCATCGACATAGTGGTCAAGTTACATGGTTTTCACAAAACCATTTTGTCTGACCGTGATCAGATCTTCTTGAGCAACTTTTGGCAGGAAACCTTAAAGGCCAGCGGCACCACCTTGAAGTTGAACATGGCTTTATATCCCCAAACTGATGGCCAAACAGAGGTGATGAACCGTGCGGTTGAACAAAACCTACGAGCATTTTTGCAGGGAACACCAACGTGGTGGACTCTTTTATTGCCATGGGATGAATACGCCCTCAATACTAATGTGCATGCAGGTCTCGACATGACACCCTTCGAAGCAGTCTTTGGATGACCTCCTCTGACATTTCTACCCTACAAAGTTGAGGGGAGTAAGATACTAGAAGTTGATGCTTTATTACGAGAGCGCGATGCCTTACTTCGGCACTTGAAAGAACACCTACGGAAGGCGCAACAATGCATGAGACTGACTTCCAATCATCACCGCCGACAGATGGAGTTTGATATATGGGACTTGGTTTTGCTGAAATTGCAGCCGTACCAGCAACATTTGGTGGCACGTCGACGATTGCAGAAATTGGCCAGACGATACTACGTTCCATTTTGGATGCTGGAAAGAGTGGGAAAGGTTGCGTACCGTATGGAGTAGCCGAAGCAATCTTGTATCCACCCATTTTCCACATCTCTCTCCTACGGCCCTTCGTCTAAAATCCCCAACAGATTACGTAGTTACCATGGCTGGAGGATTTCGTGCATGGCCAACCCATTTTGATCCGAGTGAAAATTCATGGAGTCCGGAAAGTACTACCCTGAGGCAGGTATGTTAAGCAATGTTTGGTGGAATGGTCGATTGGGAATTTGGACAATGTGTCGTGGGAACCCTACAATGTCATCCAACATCATTACCCCTCGCTACCCCTTGAGGACAAGGTGTTTCCTCAAGCGGGGGAGAGTGATACGAGCGGCAGTCACACAAGGGAAAGTGAGAGGCAAGAGGTGGAGAGTTTGGAGCGAGGGACGAACGACCGGACGTCCAAGGAAAGCTCTAGCTTGGAACAATGATTATGTGACAAGATAGTATTTTTATTATTATTATTATTTAATATTATTATTTTCTATTTTATGTAATATTTTTTTACTAGGTTATTGGATTTATAAGCTCCTTTGAGGGTTTTTTTCGATTCTTTACCTCGATACCTTTTTTTGAACCGACAGGTAATAGTTAGGATTTTATTAGGGTTTATAATTAGGGTGTCTCTTTTGATATAAAAAGGGAGGCAAACCCGTAGGTGTATTATCAATAAGAAAATATTAAACCCATCATCTTCTTCTTCCCTTCCCCCTTTGGAGTCCGGAGACACTCGAAGCTCTCCCTGACCCGATACATTTCCATATCATGTTCTCATTGGAAATAATTTGTAGGTATTCTCTATTATTTCCAGATGTATTTTTAAGGCGGTAACCATTTTGTCGAATATCTTTGAAACTAAGTAAATTTCTTCTGGATTTACTTGCGTATAATGCATCATTTAGGATTAATTTGGTACCCCAGGGTAATATGATGCATGTTCTTCTGGAGCCTTCAATTAGGTCACTAACACCCGAGATAGTACCAATAAATATTTTGATGGGAAATAATTCTGAGAAATAATTTTTATGTTTTAGGATTGTGTTGGTACTACCACTATCTACCAAACAGTAATCACCAATAACAGCTCTGCTGGAGCTTTTGTTCATCTTTCTCATTTGTGGGGATTTGCGAAAGAGCACATGAGGATTTGGAATACTCAGTTTTGACAGAGTACGGAAAAAGAAGATGGGGTGGAATCCTGACCTATCAGACGGAGTATGGATTCTACAAGCGGTTCTTTCTTCTCTGCCGATGGTGTTTGATGTTATATATTTTAGTGTTATTGGAAAGACTATTTGACCAATGATATCATAATAATCATCAAAAAAGTTTGGTGATGCGAAGTGCACGCTTCGTTGAAATTGTTATGATAAAAGTCTCATTTTAACGAGAGTTCCAAGGGGACAGTGCCTCCTTAGCGGTGGTTCGGAGGTAGCACCCCCGAGTAGGGTTCAAAGGGCGGCAGCGCCCGCAGGGTCCAAGGTGCAAAGCCCCTGGCTGGGGTCGAGATCGAAAATTTTTTATTTTTGACAAAGTGCTATGTTAAAAATTCATTTGAATTTTTAATTTTCGAATTTTCCTTAAAGGAAAGTTTTCGGAAAAAGATAGCGCCTGTTTCTTAAAATTCGTGCAAGGGGACGCACGTTTTAGATGGGAGACGCGACCGCAGCTTTTCTTCCGTTTCGTTGCTCTATAAATCCCGCATTTTTGGAAATTTGGTATTTTTTTTACAAATCCTTAATAAGCATGTTAAATCAATACGGGAAGAACATTCACGGACGGAGGTAAAGACGATGATCTAACGTGTTAATTACTTTAATTTTTGTACTATAAAAAATTAAACCGTATAATTTTTCTTTTCGTATTTCTCAATAAAATTTGCATTTTTTTCATTTTTAAGAATAAGATCGCACATAAGGTTCACAATTACTTTCTCACTTCTATGCAAGTTCTAACTACACTTTTTATGATATTTTCTGTTTTAAATTTCATAAAATCAAGCTATAGAGTTTTTTTTATGGGAAGAAAATGGTATTGCCCAGTAGCACATACATAATCCGAATATCCAATTCAACATTTTAAACGCTTGAGGTATGATTAAGAAATAAAGAAAATGACAAATTAGATTTTAAGATAAAAAGAAGACAAATTCTATCGTACCTTGACAATTTTTTGGCTGTAAGAGCATCTACGGCGCATAGTGTATATGCTTAAATATACACTTTATGCCATTTACTATTTATATTTTCCCTCTCCAATGCATTGTGTGTAAAATGCACTATAGTGCAAAATACCACTCCCTCTTCTATTTATACAAGATCACTATTACTCATCCTTTTCCTCTTTTTTTATTTCTCTTTCTTCTTCTCAATTTGCTTCAAATTCGTCCTTTTGTTAATTCATTTCTTCATTTATTGTGAGTTAATTCTATTTTTTTTACATATTGTACTCCCTCTATCCTATATCTTTCTTCCTGTTGCGCAAAACGAAGAAAAATCCCAAGTTTTTTCAATCTATTTTATTTAAATATTGGTATAAAAATAAAACATACATATTTAAAAACTACATCAAAAGTTCAACAAAACAAGTGGTGACAAGAATATTTTATTTTATCATATAGGCCATGAAAAAACACAAATAAACATAAATTCCCGCGAAGTTGGAATAGTGCTCTAGGAAGAAAGTTTTAGGACGGAGGGAGTAATTTTATTCGTAAGTGACATTCTCCATTCTAATAATTAAATTATGAATTAAAATACTTATTATGAATAAATAATTTAGAATAATAAAAAAAATAAAAAAGTGTATTATATAGAAGATATGATTGGAGTAGTTATTAAAAATTGAGTGTGTATAACACTGTTGATAGTGTAAAATTGATTTTACACTACCACTTTATACCGGATGCACTGAAGATGCTCTAAGTGGTGATGTGATTTTAAGAATAATTCCCATAATTAATCTTTTATGGAGTAATTAATTTTGTAAGCTTGTTTTTTGTGGATGTCCCACGTTCACTCAGGCCCTGATTACTCTTAGCAGTTTTGTCATTTGTGTAAATTATTAAAGTGAACCAATTATCAATGTGGGCCTGAACTTTAAGACCATAGTCACGTGGTAGTACAATTTGATACTGCACTGAATCAATTACTCCGTATGAGTGTGGGTCTTGCGGTTATGGCTTTGGATCCTAGGTCCCCTCGGTGCCTCACCTCTTGTCCCATCAGTCTATTTTGCTGAATGTTTATCATATTTCAAAAAACAAGGTAAAATATTAAGTTATTTTAATTTATTTTATTTAAACATTAATATTTGAATAAAAAGCAAAATTTACATATTTAAAAATCACATGAAAAATTTTTCAAAATAAGAGGTGCGGAGTATATTTCATTTTATCAAAAAATCATTGAAAACGTTCAAATAAACAAAAATTTCCGTGACTGTTGAAAAAAGAAATGTGACAAATATTTGGGAGAGAGAAAGTATTATCACAAGGGAGAAATACGAAAATAGCACTTTAATAGCCTTATAATACTCAAAATAGCAGTGCTATTAGTTTTTGGGATGAATTCCCGTTTTTGTCCTTAAATAAACTCCCAAAATTAGAATTATACTGCAATGTATACTCTTCACTGCCACATTATAAATAAATATGAAATTCTCTGATCTTCACTGCCACAATATGTTTGAGATTGAATTTAGTGTCCTAACACATACAACACTGCAAAAAAAACAGGATTCATTTTAACCCGTGACCTTTTATTTTTTATGGTAATTAAACACTGCAATATATACTCTCTACACTGTCACAATATGTACTTCCAAAAATTCAATGTCTGAAATATACTGCCACAATATATACACTGCCAAAAATTCAATGTCTGAGATACACTGCCACAATATATACATTGTCACAATATATCTACACTGCCACAAAACACAATAATTAAAACTAAAAATACAGCGAAATCCGAATAAAAGGATGCAAGACAAAATTTTAACATTTAATCTTCACACTGCTCACACCATAACACCTAATCTTCACGCTGCCAAAATCACAATGCCTTTCAAAAGACCTAATTTTTCAAAAGGGACAAATACTTGGTATTTCAAAATTGATTTCACCACATACACCTAATCTTCAATACGAAGAAAACACAATAATTAATACTAAAAATACAGGGAAATCCGAATAAAAGGATGAAGGAATGAAAATTAAAAATTGAAGGAGAAGAGAAAATGATTAGTGACATCAAAGATTAGCATGGGAGAGAACTTGATGATTGCCGGCTTGCCGCTGCTGATCGGCCAAGGAATCGTGGGCGAAGGACTGAGGACGCATCATCACCGGCGAACGGAAGGAGAGACCGTGAAGTTCAATAGCGTGCGGGAGAACGGAAGGAGAGATTGGAGTTGAATGCCGTAATTTTTAATGAAAAAAAAAGAAAAAGGGGTAAATGGTATGATAGGAAAGGATTGACACCATTAATTGCTAAATTTGTTAAAAACAATGAGTAGTGCTAAATGTGTAATTTAGGGTGAGTTAGAGTGCTATGTAGGGTGATTTCTTCTAAATTTAAAGAGTGCTTCTCTAGTGCACCTTGGGTGCACACTATTTGTATGGACCTTTTCACATAAAAAACTTTTTTTATTTTTTAATTAAAAAAAATATATGCTTATTTAAGTAATAAAGAAATGCTTAATTTTCTCATATTTAGGTCCATGTTGGACCTTAGGTCCACCATAAAATTTTCCAAATTTAAAAAATATCGAGTGTGTCCACCATATTAATTTACGTGGCATTTGCTTACATTGTTTATAATATCTTATACATATACTCCCTCCGTCCTATATTGATCTTCCCACTTCCCTTTTTTTCCTGTCCTAAAATCATCTTCCTACACACTTTAAATACACATGTAATGACTAAAATACCCCTAAAAGGTTAAAACCTTTATTACTCACCCACCC